ACCTCTTGAAGTCACAGGTCTGCACGCTGAATTAATAATCATTTGATTAATTTGAGAGTCTTTTAGCATCAGAATACTTATGTGTTTTGCACTATAGGAAACCATAGCAGCTCGTCCAGATTCTGGGTTCCACCTGTTTGAGTCTCAGCAGTATGGAGAGAGTGACCTGCTCTTTAAAGATGCTACAAGGTGCCTTGTTCACACCAGTCACATGGACTACCGCACCATATTGGGAGAAGAGTTCTATTCACAGGCTGAGAGCATCTTTAACTGCACACACTCAAGTGAGAATAAAAGGAAACATTATTATATCTATACCAGTTATTATTTGTTTGCATTAATATACAATCACTGGATTTTAAAAGAGCTTGATTTAAAATAGCACATTGATATGTAAAATGTCTCTTATTTGAATGATTATTCGTGCATATTTTAATTGGGGCTATTGTTTTTAATTATTAATTTATTTATTTTAATTTTTTTGACATATCTTGCAGTTCTGCAATCAAGATGTGTGCAGCATATTCTAAACAACCTCTATGAATTTTTTGACAATGTTAAAAAGAAGCATGGGTCATAATGTATATGGTTTATTTTGTATCATTATTCATTACTGACATAATACTCTCTTAAGATATATTTTATATCAGTGAGTGCAGTACTGGAGAGTTTATTAGTTCATCAAAGAACACTGCTGAAGATGTGACCTTCACTAAACTACATTTACCATCATGCACCTGTGTAACACGGAAGTTCTTGTTGTGATGACCGCTACTACAGTTACTGTACTAATGTTTACGAAATACAAGACTTTTGGTGTCGAGGATTTTATAAATACAGGTAAGTTATTAAAGTAATGTAATTGCTTGTACATTTGGATGTGACCTTCACTAAACTACATTTACCATCATGCACCTGTGTAACAACACGGAAGTTATTGTTGTGATGACCGCTACTACAGTTACTGTACTAATGTTTACGAAATACAAGACTTTTGGTGTCGAGGATTTTATAAATACAGGTAAGTTATTAAAGTAATGTAATTGCTTGTACATTTGAAATATTTGTTTTAAGTGTATATATTTACACGAGGCATAATATCCATGGCATGTTTCTTAGTGTCCTAGCTTACTTGACATTTGAAAGTTATACAATGAGTTGGTCACATTCCACCTACAGACGTCAAAAAACTGAATTAACTGACATGACTATTTTATCGTTATGTTTATAACGTAATAATTGTCTATATGCTCGAATACCATTAAAAAAATATTGCACAAGATTTATATTCAGTAACGTTATGATATAATAAATACCATACACCTTTAAGACATTGCACTTAAAGGTTTATGATGTCACAGTCAGATATTACTGTTACTTACAGGTCAATCTAGTTATTTACAGGCCAATGTATATGCCTATATGTATGTATATATTGTAATTATTTTTATTTGATTTTATTTTCTTATTTATTTATTAGTATATTATATCCATGGATATTGGAAACACATTTCCATGTACATTTTATTGAATAACAAATTAGCTGAACAACTTTATCAGAACAAATGCCACAAAATGCACCAGTGTGTTTGTCAACCCCAGAGGGTTAAAGAACTTTATTAGTTCACCATATTTCAGACCATAACATGTCAATTCCATAGAGTAGTTGACATTGTGTAGAACAGTTGATTGTTGTTGATAAACAGTTGATTGTTTTTATCTGTACAGGTTTGTAGATGCTGTTTTCATGGAGATCCCTGCCTCCTCGTGTGGCAGTGGGAAGATGTGCCTCTACAATTCAAGCTAGTGTGCAACGATTTGTTCCTGCAAGTGGCTCAATTGACTCCAATGCTTTAGAACAACTCCAGGCCTTTGTGTCGCATGCTTCTCGTTTGTTTGTGATAAGCGGTGCCGGACTCTCCACTGAATCTGGAATTCCAGACTATAGATCAGAAGGTGTGGGACTGTACGCACGGACTGACAGGCGGCCTATGCAACACTCAGAATTTGTGCGCAGTGCGAAATCGAGGCAGCGATACTGGGCACGGAACTACGTGGGGTGGCCGCAGTTCTCCTCACACCAGCCGAATCCAGCGCATTTCGCATTGCGGGACTGGGAGGAAAAGGGAAAACTGCACTGGCTCATCACTCAGAATGTAGATGCATTACACTCAAAGGCTGGACAACAGAGACTAACTGAACTTCATGGATCTACACATAGGTAAGGCAGGACTTGCTTGAAGATCATTGATTATGGAGTTAAAGAATCTGCAATGTAAGAGGAAAAATATTTTATGTGATTTTATGTTTGTCCTGCTCTTAGGGTTGTGTGTTTGGACTGCGGGCAGCTGACTCCACGTGCTGAGCTTCAGAAGCGTTTTGCAGCTCTAAACCCTGGCTGGGCAGCAAGTGCAGGTGCTGTGGCCCCAGATGGAGACGTGTTTCTGGAAGACGAGCAGGTGCTGAACTTCACAGTACCTGCTTGTGATGCCTGTGGCGGTGTGCTTAAACCTGAGGTGACGTTCTTTGGTGACGTAGTGAACCGGACTACAGTTAACTTTGTGCATAACAAGCTGGCTGAATCTGATGCTGTGCTTGTGGCTGGATCTTCTCTTCAGGCGAGTCATGTTTCATCAATATCACTTTAAAAACATTTCCTGTTCACGTAGACCAGGGTTACTCATTACTACTCACTGGCTGCCATCTCCTGGTGTAATGATGTATCATACAGATAGGGGTCACTAAACAAATTATTATTCATTCAAAGTTTTTAGGTAAAATAAACATAATGCAAAAGATCAATACCTCAATTTACAGAATTTTACATATTCACACATTCTTGGTTAGTTAGCTAAGTGCAATTAAGAATACAGCATTGGCAAGATGGAGTTAAGATGAAATACTTTATATTAAATATTTTAAAATTATAAAGGTGCATTTCCCATCTAGAATTTATTCTCTAAAAAGTTGCTGAGCTCCTCATAAATCAATGTGGGAAACATTTATGGTAATGATGAAATTCTAGTTAAATTGAAATTCTAATTAAAAGTGAAATTCTAATTAAAGTTTTGGATTTTAAAAATTTTAATCAAAATTCCCATGGTTATTATACTTAACTAAAACCAAGCCACAGAAAAAAATGATGCTTGAAATAAAATAAATGTTAACTGGAATTTTAAAAAAAAGTTAACTAGTTAAAACTATTTAAATTAGTTGCCAAGGTAATATTTTAAGATTGTTAACGCCATTAAATAAAAAATGAGCAAAAAAACTTTATATGAGACAAAGAA